TTAAAACGTGCAAAGAATAACATAAAAGTAAATAAACATGCAAAAATGTAAGGGAGTAAACAATTGCGACGACAGAAACTGTTTGGCCTGAAGAGGGAGCTCATCCCGAAGATATGGGGCAGTACTGAGAACGCCGAGCCCTTCTTGTCGTACATTTCACTTGTGGAACCACCAGCAGGTTCTGCGCTACTGACCTAAGATTGCATGCTAGAGTGTAGCAGGTACTGAGATTACGTCGATAAGAGGGAGAACTTTTCACAGACTTAAAAACAAGCATCAAAACTTTTAATTTGAAGCTAAAGCCAGTCATGCTAGTGCAAGGCTGCCAAACACGGCTTAACATAATTATGTTTCTTTGTACCCATTAGGAAAATCTAGAAGTAGCCATACGACTAATTCCAGAATAAAGGGAATTACAGCAGACCAAGTGGGGAGTGACCGTATATATATGTCGATGGGAGTGACAAATGGGTGAACAACCATCTCCAAATGTGCCTTGGTACCTAGATGTAAGAGATGAAAGATACAAGAATGTACCGCCCCATTGATATGGTCCTCAAACTTCAGGGCAACATCTAAGTTGACCCCCAAGTTGGAGACAACAAATTTTTTATAAGGTGCCAAGGAAGTCAGGTCAGTGATGTGGCCTGAGGTTGATATCCTCAGTATTCATATCACTCACATTTAATAAATTGAACGCCATCCAGGCTTTAACATCCTCCAAAGAGGTGGCTTCATCAAGCCTACAGTAACTCTCCTCAGAGGAAAGTACATCTGGCAGTCATCTGCATAAAGATGAAATTTCATCTAAACCCTTCTTTTCACTGGACATGAAAGCGTTACAAAACAGCTGCGCAACGTACCACACGGGACTTAGCTGGACAGGTTCCTTTCCACCGGCAGCAAAGTGTAACATTTTGGAAGCGAAGGGATGCTATCATTACATTTCAAGTTTGTTTTACGCACGACGCTTAAAAAACACGTCAAAGGCCGCCGTTAAGATCAGACCAGACAGGAAGTCTGTCATGTTGTGAAGGTGGAGATGGTGGACCAAGTGTGGTGGAGGGTTCAGGAGGCAGAAGAGCAGGCACGGATAAAGTAAAAATGGGTTTAATAACAACGGGAGCGACAGGACAAAACGATACATGCACATACAACAATGATCCGACACAGGACATACGAGACGGGAGGTATAAATACACTGGGGAAAATCAGGAACACATGGGCATGTTAACAAGGGCAGGTGAAACCAATAAACAACTAATCAGGGCAGGAGAGGAACACAGTCGGGAAGGCAGGGGCAGATCGTGACAGTACCCCCCCTTAAGGGGCGGATACCAGACGCCCACAAGGCCACACAACACAGGAGACCAGAAACACTCGACTCAACTGGAAACACTCGACTCGGAAGACTCGACTGGAAACACTTGACTTGGCGGGGACAGGACTCGAAGACTTGACTTGACTGGAAACACTTGACTTGGCGGGGACAGGACTCGAAGACTTGACTTGACTGGAAACACTTGACTTAGCGGGGACAGAACTCGAAGACTTGACTTGACTTGACTGGAAACACTTGACTGGAACACGAAGACTTGACTGGAACATGAAGACAAACCGCAGCAGCCGGGACGGTACCCTGTAGTAACTGCAGCAGCAGGCGTGGAACCCAGCAGGAACTGCAGCAGCAGGCGTGGGACCCAGCAGGAACTGCCGCATGAAGGATCTGCAGGCATAGACCCTGCAGGCGTGGACCAGGAAGTGGGACGAAACAGCAGGAGCGACGTGAGGGAACCAGGAGCGGTAGCAGGTACTCGACCACAGTTCGGAGCAGGTGCACACCGTGACTCGACGGGATCCACAGGCAGGCTCGGGTGAAAGGAAGCAGACCACGGAGCAGGAAGACCAGCCCTACCACCCCGGAGAATGATGGTATGCGTAGGGGTTTTTACTTCCATCAGAGAACTCCAGGAAATGGCAGCTTCCGTAAAAAACAGGATGGGGCAGAAAAGCAGGAGAGGAGAAAAGACCTTGGCCACCTTGGAAACTGATAGAATGCGCCAGGATCACCCAGAGGGCTCGACCACCCCGAGAACAGGTAGGATGCGCCGAGAAACACAACTCCAGGCCGGAATCTCCCTCCGCTGAAAAGGATAAAAAGAAAAAATAATCCTCCAGAACAGAAAGGCAGGCTCACCACAGGTCCAGGTTTGGTCGGATCATTCTGTCATGTTGTGAGGGTGGAGATGGTGGACCAAGCGTGGTGGAGGGTTCAGGAGGCAGAAGAGCACGCACGGATAAAGTAAAAATGGGTTTAATAACAACAGGAGCGACAGGACAAAACGATACATGCACATACAACAATGATCCGACACAGGACATACGAGACGGGAGGTATATATACACTGGGGAAAATCAGGAACACATGGGCATGTTAACAAGGGCAGGTGAAACCAATAAACAACTAATCAGGGCAGGAGAGGAACACAGTCGGGAAGGCAGGGGCAGATCGTGACAAAGTCAAACACGGAAGAAGTATAAAATATCTGGAAACTTTCAAAAAAAGACTCACATGCAGATAAACGTACGTCATTTCCTGTTAAACCATTGTGGACGATGTAAACATAGAAAATAAACCACAGACCTTTAAGATACAGGCAGCTTTCTTTATTGCTTGTTATTGTGTGGACTTCTGAAATCGCCCCTCGTGTTGCAATTCTCCTGTGATTTTGTGACTTTTTGGGACCAGCGGTATGTTTCACATCTGATTTGCTCCCAATTGGAAGGGAGCGTGCTGGTGAAACGCAGCTATGCTACATGCTGCGTTCACGTCTGTTGGAAAGAAAGGGTTAGGCTTATGAAGCAGATGTTCAAGAAGCAACAGGTAGAGAGAAAAAAGCGAAGGGCTTGTAAAAGATTCCTTTCGTATGCTGCTTTGAACAAGGTGATCAAGGGTGTGATAAAGAGCTTGATGTATTCACTAGACCTAGAATCCAATCCAATCCAATCCAATCCAATTTTATTTATAAAGCGCATTCACAAGGCATTACAACCAAACAAGGCGCTGTACACTAAAAATGTTGGTTAATTAAACAGGCGTTATATAAACATGTCGAACACAGATAAAAGATAAAAAGGAAATGCAAATGATGTAGACGAGATGATGGCGGTGTCTTATTGTCAAAAAGAAACCAGTGGTGGAGTTTCTGGTATGAAGGGTGTGCCAGTACACTATATTATACAGATTAAAGTGTCGAATGTGAACAGGTGTGGCAAAGTGGATGACTGCTGGATGAAGAATGTCCATCATCTAAGGGCGGTGCATGATGTCCTTATGTTTATGACGTCACCGTACAAAGTGTTGTCTTAAAGAAGATGTGCTTGGCATTGCAAGAGAAAAGGAATGCCGGTCTGCTGATTGTTGTGCAACATCAAGATAAATCCAGCGTGACCCCTGAGTAATTGTTGGATTTGATATAATCCAAATCCCAGTCATCACACAGCAGGTTTGCTTGTCTTGATATTAAAATAGGGATGGAGTTTGCAACAGAGGTAATGCTGAGTTCATGAGTAGAAGCTAGAGCTGGGAGAAGGGCCAACTGAGCATGGAAAGGTGTCATCAGCATAGAGATGAATGTGAGAACTACCAGCAGCCTTCTTCTACAAGTAAGGTGATCATTCTTTGCCTGAGGACACAACCGGCTTTTGTTGTGTTGCATTATCTATAAACATAACAAAATATGGATTTCTGCCTTTTTATAACAATATGAGTGCATCAGATGTGATTTTTATTATATAACTTTTGCTTTTATTTGTTCCCTTTAGAAACAAGATGGTACATGTCAAACTGACTTCAAGAAAATCAGATTGGAGCAGCAAATAATCCAGCTGTTTAAGGACTTTGTCGGTGGAGACGTCAGCATTATAGTACGTGGCATTCAGTCAGCATATCCATTTATTTACTTTTATGATGCTTATAAGCTAAATACACACGACTCCAGGCGTTACCTGAAACACTTCACTGACTACAATCACATTAGCTGTATAAGCTTTCACATCCGTGTTCCCTGTTTGAACAGTGCAAGTTTTTTTGTTGTCTTTGTGCTTACGTTTGAAAACTCAGCCCAGGTTTGATCATAAATAATAATAAAATTATCTTCAAGTGTTTGAATTGTAAAAGCAGAATAATCTGATCAGCAGGGCAGAAAGTCAATATTAACACTGCACGGCTAGTTGGGTAGTCACAGTTTACTCCTTATGTAGCCACAGCTGTCTAAATGATCTATTCAGGACACATTTACAGGGCTAAGTTTGTCTGTTTTTCCTCAAAACACAGAAGTCCTATTTGCTGAGACTGAAAGATATCCGGCAAGCTCTGAACACATCAGAGTTCTTCAAGAAACACGAGGTAAAGTCTGGTGGTGCTGGCATCATTTTATTAAAGAAAAGAGGAAAGTAAGAGCTTTGTATGAGATTGAATATTATTCTTTTGATTTTGAATCATGTGACAAAATCAGTAGTGAAAATTTTATATAAATAAACTGTCAAATGTTCAGGAGCGATTCTTGGAAAATGGCTACAGAACTGGTTAACCCTCTGGAGGCAGGCGTTGCAGATTTGCAACGTTAAAACCTACCTACCTGGTTACTCCACATATGTATTTCATGAGCATTTTTAAACTCAGAAGTACCCCTGAAGGACTTACTGGTAGTTGTTTGTCCTTTTATCAAAACTTATTTTGAGCCTGAGAGGGTTAAAACTAATGTTTCATATTTAGCCTAAGTACTAAACTATTCAAGTTTTAAAAGTAATACTATTTATTTTTATTTTCATTAGTATTGTACATCCTTAACCATTCTGTGTGGAAGTATACTCATCACCACTAACAGACAACCTCACTGAAGATGGTGACCACAGCTAATGGACGTTAGCTAACAGCAAATGTTCGTAACTCATTTTGCACGAATAACGAGTTAAAGCGTATTGAGATGAATTCTCATCATATGCATTAAGAGCCAGCAGATTGAGCAAAGTAAATTATTTAAAACTTTGTCAATAAAATTAGGAACAAGCTAAAAATTCCCGCGAGGTCCTCCAGGGCGCTGTTTTAGGGCCACTTGTTTTCATTTTGTACATAGTTAAAGACACAAGTTTGCGTATCTACACAACTGAAACAATCTTGACGAATAAAGAGCCAGTAAATATAGATATGTGGTTTAGCTGCTGCAAACTTTCCTTGATGTTTGCAAAACAAGCATTAGATTTTGCTTCAATAAAACCTGATACCAAGCAAATCATCTGCGAATAATAAAACTTCCCGAGGATCCTCATTGATCAATTAATTTATTTTAAATGTAATTTTGAAAAATAATTCTAAACACGCATCCTTGTACTTAAAGCTGACATTTTCTCACAATATTTGCACTTATTACCCTTCTACATTGATGTAATATGATGCAACCCCAACCCTAGATCATTCACGTGTGCTATATCATGTTCCGACTATACATCTCCTGCCGGAACATTTTTCTACCTTTAAAAACTTCTGAAACTTATATAACTATAATAATCTTGCTTGTATAATGATCCAAGTAGTTCACAACATCATAATTTATACATAATTTATTCAATCTCATTCTGATCTTCTATTCTATACCTATAGAACAATGAAGGGAAACTAATATTAGAGCAGCAACAAATGTCACAATCCATCTCCATCTTTTAGACTAAAAGGAAAATGTAGCGTGTGTCCACATATGTTTAATTTATAATCTCACGAAGATGTGTTCGTTGTTGCATACTGATACTGATTGTGTTTCTGTTTGTTCTTCTCTGGGGTGACTCCTATATTTATATTGATTGATGACTTTTTTTATTGGTTCTTTTCTATTAACAGAGAGCTTGTTTTTACCTTCTTGCTGACAGTTTTGGCTACTCCTGTCACCTTTGTCAGAGCGTCGCTGAAGTTGGCGGTGTCGCTTTCGTCTCTGCACCATCGGCGATGCTCTGGAGTAGCCGAAACTGTCAATAAGAAGGTTAAAAACAAGCTCTACTTCTAGAAAAGAACAGATAAAAATTGAATCAGAAAATCAACACAGATCGAACGTAACAAAGATGATTGACAAAGTGTGAATAAACACTTTTTGTTGTTCTGCTCAGGTCATTGGCAGCTCTCTCCTCTTCATCCACGACCACACTGGAAAGGCCCAGGTCTGGATTATTGACTTTGGAAGGACCACAGCATTACCAGAGGGTAAGACTTTAAGTCATGACATTCCCTGGAAGGAAGGCAACCGGGAAGATGGATACCTACTGGGGCTGGAAAACCTTTATCAACTGCTGGAGTCGATAAGCAACGAAGGGACTAAAGAAGACACATGCAGCCAAACTACAGAAACACGTATTCTGTAAATAACCGTAAATGGCACTTAAATCAAAACAAAAAAATGCTCCTTCAAAACATTTTGAAGTGATAGAGAAGTTAAGAACGGAGCACCAACAGCACATGAAGACTCTGACTTTTCCCATCTAAATATTTAATGCTGACATAAAAGACACGGTGGAACAAAAAGGAGCTGGAAACTTCTCACCAGTGTGTTTACGGCTGAGAAACACACAGACACTAAATCAACTTCCTACATCATGAGGAGAAGTGAAAGTGCAGTGATCCTGCTTTCGGTTTGGGACAATAAGTGTGAAAAGGTTTCTGTCACGACTCCAGCCCCACATCACTCCTCCAACCGGGATCCCTCCTCCTAACTACAACTCCCAGCATCCCTCTCACCACCTACATCATCACTCCCAGCCTATATACGGAAGTCTCGCCCTCTCGCCTCTACTCAGTCATCGTTTCAACGACCCGACTCATGAGATTACTCCCTGGTCTCTCAGTTCACCCGCCTATCATAACAGGATGACTGAGTCTCGTATTGACCCCGCAGAGTTTGAGTGTCTAAAAGCCAAGGTTATTCAGCTTCGAGCTATGGTGGATTGACAGAGCTCCAAGATTGACTCCTTGGCCGATCTGACTATCCAGCTATTCGCCACCATCAACACTCTCCAGCAACAGCCCGCCCCCTCGCTGGAGGAACCCCAGATCGGCCTCCCCGAGCGATGGGATGGCTCCAAAGGCTCCCCCCGATGGCTTACTCGCCACATTGGACATGATGTTCGAGTGTCAGCCATCTCGTTACACCTCTGCTCGATCCCGGGTGGCCCTCCTGACCTCCCTGCTCGCAGGCCGTACCCAGAAGTGGGCAGCGGCCCTCTATAACAAGAGGTCTCCAGCCTGTAACGACTATGTAGCCTTCGTGGCGGAGCTTGGAAAGACCTTCGCTCCTCCCACAAGTGAGCTCGGAGCCGAGACACAACTGCTGAAACTCCACCAGGGGAGGAATTCCGTGTGCCAGTATGTCTCCGAGTTTCGCACAGTGGCCACCAAGCTCCAGTGGGGGGATGAGGCCCTTAAGGCGGTGTTCACTGAGGGCCTGGCACCCTACACCCGCAACGAGCTAGTAGGACGTGAATCCCCTGAGGACTTAAACGCCATGGTGGACCTCGTGCTGCAAATTGACCAATGTGTCCTCATGCAACCACGCTTGTCCTCCTATGCCACCCAGCCCGTGAGACCCCAGGGTCCTCTCCCCGGCCCAGCTCCCTCCAGTCTGGACCCACGACCATCTGCAAGGGAGGAGCCCATGCAGATAGGTCGTCTGTCTCCCGAGGAACGAGAGCGGCGCTGGAGAGAGGGCAGGTGCGCCTACTGTGGCTCACCGGATCACCATCGAGCTGTCTGCCCCGAGCGACCGGCAAAAGATCAAGCCAAGTAAAGGTCGAAGAAGCTTTACTCGGCTCCACACCCTCAGCCCCCATCACTCGCCAACTTCTGAGTGTCACTCTTCTCCTGGAACCGAAGCCGGTTGTCCTCAACGCCCTCCACGACACCGGAGCAGCCGACAACTTCATCGACCAGGAACTCGCCGACTATCTCCGACTTCCCACCACCGAACTGGAACACACCATCTCGGTCACATCTGTGGACGGTCGCCCACTCCATCCATACCCCATTTGACGCCAGACCAAACTCCTCCGTATGAGTGTGGAAGAACACCATGAGACCATCCGCCTCCTAGTCATCTCCGCCCCCTCCTCACCTCTCATCCTCGGACATTCTTGGTTCCGACAGCATGACCCCGACGTATCCTAGTCAACCGGCTGCCTCCTGCATTGGGGCCCACAGTGTAACAACCATAGACATCATGCCCCTGAGACGGTCTCAGCCCCCCCAGACACCGCACCTCCCGAAACCAAGGACATCCCTACCCACTATCGGGATCTACTCCACGTGTTCGACAAGAGCCGGGCTGCCGTCCTGCTCCCTCATCGTCCCTATGATATGGAGATTCGGCTGCAACCTGGCACCACTCCCCCGAGGGGTCGTCTGTTCTCCTTGGCCCCCTCAGAGACACGAGCCATGAAGGACTATGTGGCCGAGGCCCTCGCCCAGGGCTTCATCTGCCCATCCACCTCCCCCGGCGCTGCCGGCTTCTTTGTAAAGAAGAGAGACGGTGGTCTGAGGCCCTGCATAGATTACCGAGGGCTAAACCGCATCACCATCCGGGATCACCACCCTCTGCCTCTTATGTCCACAGCACTTGACTCCATCTCCCAGGCATGCTTTTTCACCAAGCTGGACCTGAGTAGTGCCTACAATCTGGTGAGGATTAGAGGGAGATGAGTGGAAGACCGCTTTCTTCACACCTACTGGTCACTGGGAATACCTTGTGATGCCCTTCAGTTTGTGTAACAGCCCTGCGGTCTTCCAGAGGCTCATCAATAAGGTTTTCCGAGATATGCTGGGTCGCTGGGTATTCACTTATCTCGACGACATCCTTATCTACTCCTAGATCGAGGCAGACCATGTACAGCATGTACGGGCCGTCCTCACCAGACTGTACTGCAAACCAGAGAAGTGCACCTTTCACCAAACATCCATGTCCTTCCTGGGCTTCACGATCACCTTGGAGGGTCTGGCCATGGAGCCCCAAAAACAGCACACCGTAACCCATTGGCCCGTACCCACCAGCCTCAAGCAACTACAGAGCTTCCTAGGGTTTGCCAATTTTTACAGGCGATTCATCCATAATTTCAGCACCCTGGCATCTCCCCTCACTGAACTTACCAAACCATCCTCCCAGTTGTCACCCTTCCGCCTGACCACTGAGGCCACCCACGCCTTTCGGGAGCTGGCCCAACGTTTCACCGCCGCTCCTGTTCTGATCCATCCCGACACTTCCAAGCCTTTTATCATGGAGGTGGACGCCTCCGACATAGGGGCCGGCGCCGTACTCTCCCAAAGGGGTCCAGACCAGCAGCTCCACCCCTGTGGGGTTTTTCTCCCGAAAGTTCTCACCTACACAACAACGATACAACGTGGGGGACCGGGAGCTTCTCGCCATCAAATGGGCCCTTGAGGAGTGGAGACAATGGTTACTGGGAACCACCGAACCCTTCAATATCTGGACTGATCACCAAAATCTCATCCACTTACAATCAGCCAAACAACTCAACCCTCGCCAGGCCAGATGGGCTCTGTTCTTCGAGTCTTACAACTTCACCATCTCCTACCGCCCCGGTTCCAAAAATACCAAAGCCAATGCCCTCTCTCGGCAATTCACTTATTCCACCCCTTCTTCTGATCCTGTTCCCATCCTGGCCAAGACCAGACTGGTCATTCCCCTGATGAGCGAACTCGTAATTTACTCTATCAGAATGTAATTATTATGAAGTGTATGTGAAATGAATGGACTTATACAAGAAATTCAAATGGAAATAGTATGTTTAATGAGTAAAACACTATCTTTGTTTATATAAGACTTCAGAGAAATAGGAAGAAATTATGTGGATAAAACTGATCATACGGAGGCACAAGTGTATCAGATTAAAGGTTTTTCCTTATATTTGTTGTTACATAGATTCTTTTCAAAAACTCAAAGTTTAAAACTATTCTAAACACTTAACTAAATAAAAATAAGCACAAATAAACAAGGATGACCACATTTTACATGTAAGTTTTAATGAAGTTAAAACTGAACATCTCCCCCTACTGGATGAACACAGGAACTGCCGACAACAACACAGCAGGGCAGAAATAATTCACGGCAGTGATTGAACATAAACAATAAACAACTACATCTTTTTAAAAATACAAATGCAATGGGTTAGTCAGGTGTAAACCAGGATGTATAAAAATAAGTATTTTCCCAAGAAGGGTAAGAGTCCACAAAAGCACTTATAAGACTGCCTACTGGCCAAGAAAATACTAGAATACAATACTATAATTTAGCATCTTTATTTTTAGTAGTAAAGCTAAAGGATAGGGCTGAATTCAGCCTCTAAAAAATTTCTGGCCGAAAATGACCCAAAAGTGTATTTTCGGTTTCTGGCCGAAAAAACAAAATCACAGAAACAACAGAGCTGAAACAGACCGTCATCTTGCTCCGCCCTCATCTTGCTTCATAAAAATAGTACATTCATATTGGTTTCAAAAGCAAAGTTTTTCCCCTTTTAGTAATGCTGTTTTATTACAATCGCTGGAATATTCATATCACTTACGTGATGCTCTTTTTACTTTGAGTTTCACATTGACGGTGTCTGCCTGGCTTTTTTCTTCTTCTTCTTTTACATTCCCACTACATTTGTCACTATTAGCGGTGTTTTTACCATCCTTTCTACACCCACCATGTCCTGAACTCGGTGAGATAAACTTTGGATCACGAGTTGCAGCTGCAGCCTCTCTTACCTTCTCACTGGACGAGTGAATATCTTCATCAGAGGATGAATATTACACTTCAGAATCAGTCACTACCTGACAAAAAGCTTTTATCAACAGTAAACGGGCCTGTCAGCATTGTAAGTTTCTCTTCTAATATGTAATAATATTCATCCTCTGTGAGCTCCTCCCGTCTTGACTCCTCAGTCGGGAGCCCCCCACCCCCGAAGGAGGCAGTTTTCAAACTTTAAACTCTGAAACTTTTAATAGAAACACCCAAAAGTGTTGCTCAGATTGAAGTTACACATCTCTACTATCTTCTGGTGTAAGGTAAAAACTTTATGAGGGAATATTTTTGGCTCGTTAAAAACAAAATTGTTACTTTGATGCTTGAAAGGGTTAATTTTACAGCCTCAGCAGGCTTTTCAGGTATAAGTCTGTACGTATATATATAATGTAAAATGATCTACAGTAGCTTTGAGAAAAACAGTTTGGTTTAAATGCAGCAGGTCTGAGAAAAAATAACATAAAAATTACATCTCATTAGATTTATAATAAAACACAATGTCATCAAGTATACAGATAATCTGCTGACTAAATAAAAACAAAGCCTTTAAACATAAATAATGAGTTACCTGCAGCGCTCGTTGAGTTTAAGATGAACATCTCCATCGGTTGAAAGCTTACAAGTCTTATAGCTTTACATTTCTAATGGCAGTGATTGACTACAAGTTCACATTAAAAATAAAAAATAAAAACAAAAAACTTACTCCCGTGCGGAGAAAGGAGGTACTTGAAGCAAATATTATCACAGATGAAAGGTCTATTTACTCATTTATATAACCACCAGGCCAAGTAAACATCGGGACGGGAATAGATTTCATTCAAACTGCTTCCCTAAAAGGTGAATGACTCTTGTTTCATGTTAAAGGTAAATTAAGTCACACAGATAGTGACGGGAGGCACTAATGTACGGAACAAAAACCCAGATCCATGCAGCTTTGGCACAAGCTTTTCTTAAATAGTTTTTTGTCAAGAATGTTAAAGTTGTAAAAAATTGATTTTGTAGTTAAACAAAACATGTTACATGCCAGAAATCTACACATGTTATTGCAGTGATTTGGGAGGAGTGGTGTTCACATTATCCAGGTGGACTCACATCTTACCCTTAAATTAAATGTTAACATTTTTCTTTCCACAGCAAATGATCATTCCTACCAAAAAAATCGAAGAGTCTTGTTCACAGCATTGACTTGTATAGCCGCACAAACACCCCCTAGTGGCTGGCAGCAGAGTTTAAACTCCCGCCCCCTCCATGTAAACCATTGCTATCCTGACTTTTTGCCAAAATCATTGACTAGAAATGTCTACAAAATGTGTTTTTTTATTAAAATGTCCAAAAAAATAAAAATGAATATCTTAGAGGAATTAAAACAATATTATCTGTAACACTTTCCAATAAGGGTTATTTATTAATGTTAATTATTAAGCATTAATAAACTATTAAATAAAGTATTAACAACTGCTTAATCTTAATACATTACAAAACATTACACACACACACACACACACACACACACACACACACACACACACACACACACACACCATCTGGACCTTAAGGACACTTAATATTTAAAAATGTCGGGAACATTAATAAAGGGACCCTTTGTTTATTAAATGCTTAGTAATGCACTAATTAACGTTAATATAGTGACCCTTACTGTAAAGTGTTACCAAGGGTTTTATGTATTCACATAGATTTGTGGGACCAATTGCTATTTTTTGTTTTTGTTTGTTTTCTCAGTCTTAAGAAAATACTTGTTTTTATCCCAACAACAAAACAGAAAACTGGTTTTGCTTTCTTTAAAAATGCTTGATGTATCACGGCAAATCTCAGAATAGAATCAGCTCTTTAGGCAAAAAAAGTGATTTGTTTTTTTGAACCCGAGGGGCATAAATGGCCCACAGGCCTCACTTTGGACACCCCTGATAAAAATTAACGTACAACTACACCTCAGGTCTTTTTTACCCGGTGTTACCTTGTTGCACCATATTCAAATATAAACATACTTTTAGCACAAACCCGTTAAGATTTAACATCACAGCTCCTGCAACTGGTATGTTATGGCTTTACTTGCTACAAGGAAATCAACCAAGGATAAATGAACTGGAGGAGTCGGTGGTAGTGGATTTATAATTTAGAATAATCAGACTAAATATGTATATAAATATATAGAAAAATTCTAAAGACAAAAACATTTTTGAATTGGTTTTTTTTTATAGAACGTCTTTTAGGTGATGCCAATTTGCTCCTTTTTTCCACATTTAACACTTTTGTAGCTCACTTATGTGTGATTGCTGCACAGTTCCTTAAATCTTCTTGCACGTGTATTTTTAAACAAATCGATACCTCATGATTTCACTAAATACTATTAAGTCAAATATATTACTACCAAAGCTTTCATAAAACAAATATAGAAAGAGTCCATCTGCAGCAATAGTTTCACCACCATGGAGGACATTCAGAGGACATCAGTGTCTCGCTACCAGAAACAGCTCAGGTCTGAGTATCAAAATACATAAATGTCTTTATTATGAGTCTAAATGTGTGTTCCAGCATTCCAGGAGCTGTAATGATTTCATCTGGTGGCTCTCTGAACCATTACAGAGCTCTCATCATGGTGTTGTTTATAAAATCTGGTCTTTTTTAGGTTTGGACACTAGTTGGCGTTAAATCAGCTCTCTTCTAGACGTGGCCAACGCTGAGGTCTTCAGACAAAGAAAAGCCAGAGTCCCGGTCGCGCATGGGCTTCTCGGTTTTCGTGTGTCTCCTCACGTCCTCGTGTCCGTAGCTGGCGTGGCGTTTGAGCAGGAGTTTGGGCATACATGAGGAGGAGCTCTGGAGCCCAAGAGTCAGGGCGAAGCTGGTGTTTGTGATGGCTTCAGAGGGTTTGGACATGACCGAGGGAAGGCTCTCTGCCTCGCAGCTCTTCTCATCGTAAGCATAGTTGACATTCCCACAAGGGAAACTCTGGAGCTTTGCCAGGTTCATGCCGGGTTTGGAGGCCCCACCAGCTGGGATTTTCTGGGAGGTCACCGATTGGGCAGTTTGAACCTGGCGGGAGGCAGAAGAAGAGGGGCTGAGGTAGGCGCTGGTGGGGTTGATACAACAAGCTTCGTTGTTCTCTGGAGTCGATCTGTAGGACGGTGAGCTGTTGCTTGAGAGCGGCACGGACTGAGTGTGAGCCAGAGATTTCTTCCCCCTGAAGCTTTCCAAGACCCAGGAGCCGTATGTTGGATTCCAAAGGTTCTTAGTCTTGTTCTTCAGCCTCTGGCTCCCTGAGGAGGAGCTGTTTCTGGAGCACGGTTGGTGATGAGGAGGCTCAGGGTGGAGGCAGTTTCCTGCTGACAGACCAGGAGCAGGAACAGTCTCAGCCCAAGATGGCTCGATGACCTGGCAACATGATATCACCTCATGGTGGACAGGTTGTATTCTTTGTAGGAGAAGACAGGGTTGGGTGGGTTGTGGGGGAAGAACCGGAGGACTGAAGCCTTTGGCGGTGAAACCAAGCTGGGAAGATGAGTCCTGGCAAATAGGACGGGAGACCAGCAGTGGATTTAGGCTGGTGGAGGATGGGACAGCAGGACGCAATACTGTGCCTCCATTGTCCTCTGTGTTTGGACTGTACTCCATTGGAAGGGGTGTGTTAATCACATCGGGGTCCTTGTTAGGAGTTTGAATACAGACAGAAACCATTATTATGATGGTACAGCACAGCAAACCACTAATAAAAAAAAATAGGTTAAAAAATAACTGTTTCATTTATAATTTAAAGAGGTGCTAGACAGAGGTTTTTTTACATTTGGAAACATTTGGTTCTTTGAGCCTCTACATAGCTTTGTTGGGGCTCAAAATGGCAGGAGCCCACTGAGACAGCACATGAACATTAAATAAGCAGCGTGCTGATTGGTCGTTTCACATTGTTGGCTCTGTGACACTGCCTGAAGCTAGCAGCTCTGTATTGTGCAAGTGTGTGTGTGTGTGTGTGTGTGTGTGTGTGTGTGTGTGTGTGTTGTGGGGTGCTTCAGTTTTCTTTTTTATTTTCCTCTCATTCAACAAGAATGTTAGCAGTAGCTTTGGCTAGCATTAGCTGTAGTTCAGGTTAGCATTAGCGATAGCTCAGGCTAGCGCTGGCCGTAGGTTGGGAAAGCATTAGCTGTAGTTCAGGCTAGTGTTAGCAGTAGCTAGTGTTATTCTATGGTTAGCATTACTACAACCAACATTTATATACAACACATTCTCACTCCCAGCGCGTCAAAAACAAACACTTGGTCAGTCACTCTCCGCGTCAGACCCCTGACACCAAAAGTGCCCTTTTTCGTCACTTATGTGCGAAAAGGGTTTTTTCCCTTTTCTGACTGCAGATCCCAATGCAGCGTAAAACTGACGCGATGGGATGTCCGCTGATGCTGCACCGAACCAGCTCATATATCCGCACCTAAACCTTAACGTTTTACTATTTATAACCTTCCCCTCACCCTCTTCCTAACCATAACCCTCTAGCTACCTAAAACGTTACTCTCACTGATCAAGCATTTGTTTCCAATGTATTCTGACTGTAAATTTTCGTATTTGCTGCCCAAGGGGAAAGTTACAACATACCATCTGGCGAGGGGGAGGTTACAAATACCCTCTACTTTTAACGTCCACCTTGGTAGTTGAAACCCCCCCTCGCGTTGCCTCGGTCCAAACCCAACCAATGACGAGGCGGCTCCTTCCGTTCATTTCATAGAGCCAGCTTTTAGAGCGACCGATCACTAACGTGTTCGCTAGCAAGATGGTTAAGGTTAGGATAGGGGTGAGGGAAAGGCTAAATAACAAGAGGATAAGGTTAGGGTGAGGTACAATGAGCTTGTTTGGTGCCCTGGCTGTGGACATCCCAACGCGTCAGTTTAACGCTGCATTGGGATCTGCAGTCAGAAAAGGGAAAAATCCCTTTTCGCACATAAGTGATGAAAAAGGGCACTTTTGGCGTCAGGGGTCTGACGAAGAGGGTGGCTGACCAAGCGTTTGTTTTTGACGCGCTGGGAGTGAGAATGTGTTATATATTACCATTGTTGAAGTGGGTTGGAGCATACAGATTTAAGGCGGTGTGTCTAAGCTTATGATGAGGAAAACCTGCATTTCTCAGAATAGCGTTTCTCCAATTTACATAAGAAAGCAGTCAGTGACAGCACAGACTTTAGGTTAGGTATAATAAACACCTAAAGCTGTCTATGCCTAACAAAAACAAGGTCAATTTGATTTTAAATTCCAGGCAAACTTTAAAGATGAAGTTTACCTGAGTGCAATAGCTGATTCTCTCCAAGATGGTTGAGAAGTTGGGTCGGTGATCTGGACAGTGCTGCCAACACTGGGTCATAAGACGATAACTAAAGCCAGACAGACACAAAACTAATTAAATGTGATGAAAAAGTGTTGATGTCTGTTCTTTTTGTCACTTGAAAAATAAAACCAATAAAACCACAACACATGGAGACAACAGAGTGGATTTGGTGTAACTCAGATTCAGAAAACCTGCAAAGAAACAAGAATCACTCCTTAAAAACATGTCAGACTTGCACTTGGCTCAGGTTTCAACTCACACGGGCCCAGGACAGCTCTTAGGAGGATCCATCCTGCCTCCGCTGGTGACAAACTCCAGAACTTCCTGGTTGGTTTTACATGGATACGGCATGTAACCTAAAGAAAGGATCTCCCAGAGCAGCACTCCGAACGACCTGCAGGAGGAGACACAGATCATCAAACGGGATGATGGGGGGGGGGGGGGGGGGGGGGGTGTATGTCAAAGTGGAAATATTAGACATATAAAAACTAAAATAAACACCAGCATCAGTCACAAAGCATGCACTAAAGAATCGTAGTCAGGTAAATGATTTGTTTATTGTCCAAATTCTTTCAACATTTGTGCTATTTTAAAAAACGTGCCTTTCACATTAGTTGTTTTTACAGATTTTCATACCAGGTATCCGTTTTGCAGGTGAAGATTCCCTCCATGAAGGCCTCCGGAGGCATCCATTTTACTGGCAGCATGGCCCGACCACCTTTCCTATAATAACTGGCTCTGGAAAGGAAAACAAAACCAGATTTTTCTGTTTTTCTTCTGTTTACATCTCAAGGGTAAAACCTTACCATGAACTCAAAGTACATTTTAAATGTCTCTTCTTGAAGGAGAATTAGATCAAATTCATCTTCCTTTGAGAGGCATTATTTTTGTGTTCAGTGTGATTTCTGAGGATTCAGCACACAGACCTGTAAATGTCTCGAGCCATCCCAAAATCTCCGATCTTAGCCACTCGATCTGGTCCAGAGCAGGTCAGGAGGCAATTTCTGGCAGCAATGTCTCTAAAATAAACAATTAATCCATTATAATGCTTGGTATGTAAAGGTTGTGTCATTAAAAGAGTAAAAACCAATACCAGTCGTTTCTGATTTTATACTTTAATGCAAATATTGGCCGATACCATCGGGCGTCCTCAATTACAAACAAACAAAATAATAATAGTTAAAAATTTATTCTAGAAAGGGATAAGTTTGTGATGCTTGTTGCAGGCAGAGTAACAGCAGGTCTGCTGAACCCTTTTAAATGCATCACTCTGCTCAGACCGCAGCGCCACCCTGATGACACGTCCCGTTTTCTGCAGCAGGGCTCAGATTTCACCAGATGCGAGAACACACCTGTGTATGAACTGGTTCTCCTCCAGGTACCGACAGCCAAAAGCGATGTCTCTGGCCATCTGCAGCAGATCCAGCATGGTGAGCGAGGATGTCTGGTTCTGTTTTTAAAAATGGCACGACTCAGATCAGAACGGAACACGCAGACATCATGCCAGCGTGTAATCACAAAGCTGCAGAGCACACGTACCGCTCGAGGCCGGTTCTGTCTCAGGAAGGATTTCATGTCTCCTCCGGTCATCAGTTCCAGCAGGATGAAGCGTGGCAAGATGCTCAGGCTGACTCCCACGCAGCGGACGATGTTCTCATGGCTGAATTTGCTGCAGGATCAAAAGCCAAATAAAGGAAAATTTTAACCAAAAGTTTGATTCAAATCTCATAAAAACTAATTTAAACATCTGGGAAACGGCATAAGCATATTTAATCTCTTTTTTTAAACAAAGTAGAAATTTAATGAAATTTGACAATGAGAAAAGCAGAAACATGTTTGGGTTGTGGGTTTGATCATCTCTTCATGTTTTGTGGGTTTGTTCTTGTCATCTTGGTTTAGTTTTTCCCTGTGTTCCTTCAGTTTGGATGCCGGATTTGTTTCTCTCGGTCATGGTTTGTGCTTTTATTTTCACCTGGTTCTCATTTGTCAGTCAGAGCGCTCGTCCCGTGTTTGTCATTAGTGTGCATGTAAATAAACAGTGCTCAGTTCTAATCGTTCCTTTGACTGTCTCACCCTGGAAGTATTCCCGTTGTTTTGTACTTAAAGCCCGGTCTGTTTCCTTTTCATTTCTTCTACTCAACGAATGGTCTTGAATTCACCTGCTCATGACCCTGATCTGCAGCTGGGTTCCTCTTCTACCTCCAAACCATCACATGAATTTATCAGTGTTGCACCTGGCCTTGTACCCTCATAATAACTCAAAATCATCTAAATCTACTCTGCAGTCTTCCAGAGGGCTTTGTTTTCCATCTAATCAGTTTTGATTGTAGTTTTCTAAAGGTCTGGCAGGCCGGATGTGGCCTGCGGGCCACAAGTTGAGGTTCAATGTTCTAGAGGATTTCAGCAAATGTAAAAAAGGAAAATACAAATTGAGATTTCATGTTTTGCTCCTTGTGCTGATTGCGTTTTGTAAAAGTAATAGATTTGCTCTCCCTGGCCACTTTATTAGGTGCACTTCACTTGTTCAATAGCAATTCGATGCATTTAGGGATAAAGACGCACGCAGATGATCTGAAGTTCAAATCAAGCATTTAATTGAATGTTTTTTGGTAGAGACAGGCACATGTAGCCAGATGGCCCACATTTTCAGCAAAGACACTGATGATTTTGGGAACCACTGCCACGTATAGGTTTGCCATGAATGTGCCTCTTAATGCACTACACTTTTGAGCTGAATATGAAGTGGTGTGTGAACCCATTTTTTTCCCAAGATAGGTAGGGGAGGATATGCTGTTTTACAAAAACCCAGCTTTGTGTACATGGCCCAAGTATTTAAGAAACTAGTGATCTGTTGTGGTCTTCACCAACAAACATGTTTAGGATTTACAAGGAAAGGTCAAGTTGTGTGGATGGAGATACCTCGTTAAAGGGGACATACTGTGACTTTTTTCCCAAGTTATAAGAGTTTTATGGTCGATACAAAACAATATCTGTGAATTCCTTTGCTCAGAATCCCTCTAACATAAAGGGATCCCAGCAGTTTTACTCTTGGCATTTTCAGTACCTTCCAGAATGAGCTGTTTCAAGGGCTCTGTCACTTTAAAGAAAAAAATGAGCTGGCCACGCCCACCCACCCCTCACTCAGGCTGCTATAAGCTGAAAAGCTCTTAGGGCTTGAGTTAGAGCTGCTGCTCCTCCAGCAGCAGCTCTCTCTTACATGTGAGAGGTGTTTATATGCTAATTTCCCCATTTGTGACATCACAAACAAGGACTTTTTGAAATGGCTTGTTTTAAGCACATGATTCCTAAAACCAAACACTGACTGAAAATGTTGAGATTGCTTAACGAGGCATCAGAGACCCACATGGTTAGAGAATATGAATAACAATATTTCAGTGAAAACTTTGGGTGTAAGGACAAAAAGTGGTCAAACCTGGTAATAGCAGTGTAGTACAATTAAAGTTGCCATATTTTTGTTTGCTTCCAAAACCATGTCTCTAAAAGATGCAGTGATGTGTAAATGTATAAACTAATTGTGCTTTTTTACCTCGTTTTACAAATGGACCTTTCATTTCATCTGATTTTTCCACACAGAGAAAGAGGAAGAAATGTGCAACAACAACCTGGTCTCCGTTGCTTGTATAATAAAGCTGAACTGGCAGACTCGGCTAGTCGCACCTCATAATCAGCGCCTCCATCAGGAAATCCATTTCATCCTGCTCGGAGCAGATTTCTGGAAGAGTCTGTGGAGCAGACAGAATCAGAGAAGCTGGTTGAAGTGTGTGCCTTTGTCAAGGGGAACTTTATTACCAGACCTAATCAGCAGAGCACTGAAAAGCAGGCTACACCCTACAGAGATCAGCTTTTCTTTACTTTTTTTGCATACGTGAAGCCAACGGTTGAACGCATTTGCTCCAGTTTGTGGGTGATTTTAACTTTTCTTCAACTGTCACACTTATATCTTCTAAAATATTAAAACAATAAACTACTTTGAAAAATAAATTCATTAAATTCTTCTGGACTGAGAAGTAAAAACGTCTGTGCTGGATGCTGCTGGGTGAATTATGTGTGCTTTTTGTCTGTGTCACTGCAACTTGTCTTGTGCAGAGTGTGGGCTGACCTTTATGGCCACCTGCATGGAGCCACCATCAGCACTCATCCCCAGAACTTGTCCTTCATAGACTTCACCAAATGCTCCGTGTCCAAGAGCCCTAAAAAAATAAATAAAATAAAATACCAACAAAAATATGTTTTTAATGAAATTGAAAATCTGGTACATTTTGACATTGTTCCCTCGTGGATCAAACAGTACCTGAGAAGAGTGATGTTCTTTCGTGGTACCTCCTTCAGATCGCTGAGGGATGCAGCCTTGCCAGCGAAGCAGTAGTTGGGGTTGTAGTCGGTCATGATGGTGGAGGAGCGGATCTTGCTCAACTTGTACTCTGGACTCTGCAGACGTCCCCTCACGGCGTGCAGGTCATTCTTCCTGCGGTACCACACTACAAACAAGGGTGGTGACAGAACAAAGAGGCCGGTTTTACTTCAGAGCCTTTAGAAAAGTCCCAAACCTTAACTGTGACCAGGAACCCACACCTGCAGAGATGCAGAGTCAGCTTCCCTACCGCAAAGCATAGGAGCGCTAACGCAAGGAGGGATAGAACCAGGAATTCTATTCAAATAAAAAAGATTTAATGACATTTTTTCTGTTTTCAAACCAAATCAGAGGGGCTCCTTTTTGAAAACACACAGGAACCCTGTGTTTATGCTGGTGGGATGGCCCCTCCTTGGTTACTGCTCCTAAACTACCATGTCCCAGTGAGTTTGGACTCACCCGCCATGGAGGCAGCCCACATCCCCGATGCAGGTTGGTAGTCTGCCAGGGAGGGGGAGTGGCGTGCAGGGAGGAGGAGGAGGTGCCGTCGAGCCATCGCCCGGTGCAGATGCTAGGGACTTTAGGAGGAAGGGTGGGAAACGATGGGAGGAAGGGGAAGGGGAAGGAGGGAGAGGAGATGGGAGGGGGGCACCCAGGGCACAGACTACCTCCCTGCATGGGGGAGAGCTCAGGTGAAAAGACACCATTAAGCTAGAAGGTTTGTGAGCGAGAAAGTGGTCTGATTTTACGAATGCAAAAAACTAATTTATTTACTGCAAAAAGGCAAACATTTCTTCACAAACTGTTGAGAAGAAGTCACATTAAAACAAAATGTATTTTCATTCATTTGCTCTGAATCTGCAAGTTTCCTCAATATTTTTTTTGTGTTTTAGTGTTTCCTCCAGAGCGTCAGGACAGAAAACCATTGTTCTGTTTTCTACGTCCACTTTTCTGACGACTGTCCTCCCACTTGTCTGACCCAGATCTTCAGCTGAACGCACAACTTATAAAAACAACATCGCTCTTTATTTGCTGCATTTGGCAGCGAAAGGAAGACAATTCTTATTTATTGTAAACAAAATATTGTTTCTTGTTACCTGATGATAATAAATCTGTGTAAATTGTTCATTTTCCAGGAACCACATCCAGTAGGCACAAACTTGTGTTTGCTTTGGGTTTTCTTCACAGGATCAAACTATGTTGGCTAGAATTTATCTGCACATCCAAAGCAGCGGTGAGAGGGAAGTCTGGGGATTTAATTTATTATTTAAAAAAGGGAAGAAATTCAAAGTAAGAAACCAAGAAACTCTAAATGAACATTGCCAATTTTGTCAAAGAAAAATCGGTTCTACAACCAGACGTCTACAAGACGTCAAACAGGTTACCTCTTTATACAGAAACAAGTGAAAACAGATGAAAAAGGATTTCTGATGATAAAAAGAACCAAACACATCATCAAATGCTATTAAGCTTTGATTGGGACAGTATTGCATGTAACTTGTAATGTGTTTTGTAAATGTAACTTTCAATTTGTAACATGCAATTCAGATTTTGTAACATGTATCTTTCGGTATGTAACATGAAATTTTCATTTTGTAACTTGCAGAAAAATAAATCATTGTATAAGTTTCAAATCAAAACTCTCAAAACAAACATCTCAGTCACAGTTACAAAAGTCAAGCCCATCCATCTATCCATACATTTTCGGCCGCTTATCTGAGGCCGGGTCGCGGGGCTGTAGCCTAAGCGGGGAGGGAGAGCCCAGCCACACTGCAGAGAAAACTCATTTCAGCCGCGATCTCGTTATTTTGGTCACTACCCAAAGCTCATGACCATAGGTGTGGGTTGGAATGTAGGTCAACTGGTAAATCAAGAGCTTTGCCTTCTGGCTCAGCTCTCTCTTCAACTTGACAGATCGGAACAACGCCCACATCACTGCAGACGCAGCACCGATCCACCCGTCAATCTTGCGTTCCGTCTTTCACTCAATCGTGAACAAGCCCCAGAGATACTTAAACTACTCCACTTGAAGCAGGACCTCATCCCTGACCCGAAAAAGGCATTCTACCCTTTCCCGATTCAAGACCATGGTCTCAGATTTAGAGGAGCTGATTCTCATCCCAGCTGCTTCACACTGCAAACCGCTCCAGTGAGAGCTGGAAAAAAACTTTCTGATGAAGCCAACAGGACCACATCATCTGCAAAAAGCAGAGACTCAATCCACCAAAACGGATGCCCTCAACACCTTGGCTGCACCTAGAAATCTTGTCCATAAAAGTTATGAACAGAATTGGTGACTAAGGACAGCCATGGTGCTGTCTTAAATCTATGCGTTACAAAGCATTTTGTCCCAATTCCAGCTGCCTTTTTCAAAGAACCAATGACAGGCTCTGACCAGCCAATCATGAGTCTTGGAACCCTGTCCGATCATGACAACAGGGCAGAGGTCTGTTGAACTGCTCACAACCAAACGTGCTTACATTCTCACTCTTTGCCAGTAGGTGGCAGTAATTTAAGACATTTTAAACTGAAGTATGTAAAGAACTACATTTTGAATTAGAGCAGGATTTCATATCTGAAACACATGATTGGCTGATAAGACAAAGCCTATCATTGGTTCTTTGCGAAGGAAGCTAGAATTGGGACAAAATGTTTGTACATGTAGACATGGATGTGTGTTTTGAGAGTTGTGATTTGAAACTTGTACATACATTTTTTTTGCAAGTTACAAAATAAAAGTTGCATGTTACAAAACAAGAATTTCATGCTACAAAACAAAAGTTATGCGTTACAAAATGTGAATTACATGCTACAAAATTTAAGTTACAGTTACAAAACATGTTACAAGTTACAAAATTTTGGTACAAGTTACATATGTAATTCATGAGTTACATGTGTAATATTGTGCCAATCCTAGCACCATAACATGCCACCCAGGGGTCTATTGAATTCATTAGTTCTGTTCAATTTCTATATAGTGGTTGATTTTACTTAAAAAACCCAAAACAAACGTGATCAACTGCAGAAATCAGATTGGTCAAAAAGCTTGTAAACAAGTTTAGATTCACCAGGATAAATGAAAACAGGAATCATTCCCATCAGAGTTCAGAATAAAGCTACAAAAAAATGAGAACCTGCTAGTCACACAATTTAAAACTTCTCTACGAAAGGACTGCAAGGGTAAAATGTCAGGATTCCCTTCTCATTTATAGATAAAAATAGTTATGATGACCCAGATAATCCCTCATGTCCCGTTTTACTACAAAATAAAGGCATATATTGATCAATTCTGCATAGCAATAGTCTAATTTATCACCAACCAATCTGATTCAATGAAAAAAGCCTTTTACAAACGAATGAATCCTCTTTTGATCCATATTTTATTCCTCTTTACAACTAAAAGAGAAAATAGCATAATTTCTTGATTCTGAAACATGAATTTACTCTAATAAACTCTATATTAAAGAGTGCAAATAGCACTTAAATGTAATATGTTGAGCACACAACAGAGAAGCAACACTTACATCCCCTCCAGAATGCCCCACAGTTTTACGGATACAGCCATCTTTGTGTCCATATGATCGCGACTGTTTCCTTTATTTAAAGGCTGACATTTACTGCTATATAATCCCGATAATTTTCAGTTTGTAGTTAAATGTCAAAGCTTTCTGCTTGAGCTTTTTATGGTTACAGAGCGAGATGTTTGCAGCAAGTTGTGTTTTAGAGAGCGATCGTTATACTACAGCCACTAAATAAGGCTCATAAACAGTGTGAGATTAAATAATCGCCTCGCTCATCTTCAGGTAGCTCATATTAGCCCTGCTTTTCATCCACCTGCACTGTCTTGGCAATGCAGCTAATATACAAAGGAGAGAGCATTGTCGCCAGACAAAACGCTGTAATAAAGTGTTCATGTTGTGCTCCCTGTCAGCAACCTATAATTTCCTCCCTTTAACACCGGCTCACAGCCAACACACAGATGCTCATCAAAGTGGTTCTTGTTCGGTTGCTAGTAACATCTGGAAGCACGTGCACACCCAGCTGCGCTCACAGCCGGTGGAATGTGGAGGGCACAGACTGCACACACAACTGGAGGAGTCTCTTACTGAGGACGACGCCAGCACAAATCAGAGCGATGCTGCTCGCAACCGCGGAGACGGCGACGGCCAGGATGAGCTGCGTCGGCAGCTGGTTCTGGGGTGGTGGGGTCTGTGGGGCTGAATGGAAGAACGGAGAGGAGAAGTGAGCAGGTTTGGGGAAAAAAATATTAAAGTTGACTAAGGAGGTGGTGCTGGTGAAACGTACCTACAGTACCGACACATGTGATGTTGTCACTGGCGAGGAATTCATCCACGTCACAGAGGCAGAGGATGAAGTGAGTGTCTTCCTCTCGCCTGCAGCTCTGAGTCTGACAGTGGCTGCAGTTCAGCTGCACCTTGATCTCACACTCACCGTGACCCTCCATGGCTGCAAGGTCAAAAATGAATAACAGATCAAAATGAAAAAAAAAACTCACATTCTTGAACCCAGATGTGCAAAAAAAATAATAAATAAAAAGATAAAAATGAAGTCCACATGGCGGAAGGGACCAGCTTTTTTCCACAAGAAAAACTCTGATATTACTATTCTAATGTTTCACTACGTAGAAATTAAACTATTTTAAGCAGCACGCAATAAAAAGTTTCCATCTGGTCTGTATCTGTCATGGGTGATTCTGCAGGTTGAGTGCTTTGCAGTCTTGTTTCTGGTTTTATTGTATTTGTATTCTGGTTTTATTTTGTGCATTCACTTCCTGTCTCATTACAGGCAGCTTCACGACATGAGGCTCCTCACTAATCTGCCTCATGTCTTGCACCTGGGTCCTGGCTTCTCTATTTAAGCATCTTTGCAACAGTTTCCTTTGCCAGTTTGTCTTCTTCAGTTGAGTACTGTGAACCTGCTCTCAGTAACACTTTGTGAAAGTGTATTTAGTTAGTTTTGGAGTTGTTCAGTTGTGCTGTACTGCCAGGAATCCCTTCTGCTGATTAAAACTGTGTGAGCTCTGCATTTGAGTCCTCTTTGTGATTTGATAGTACAAACTGGCCAAAAATGGACTCAGCAGGCTCTGACTCAGTTTTGGGGGCCTTGGGGGCTCAGGGGAAGAGGCTCCTCCAACAGGAACAACAGATGAGCCTACTGCACCAGGAGATGGGGCAACTCAATGCTCGACATGATCAGTTTGCTACCTCTGTCAGTGATCATCTCAGTTACCTGGTGGAGAAGGTGCAGCAGCTCCAGACCTCTTCAACCCAGCCTCCAGAGAAGAACCACATGCCGCAGCCCCAGAGTAACGAGGTGGAGGTGACTCCTGGAATATTCTCTGCATCCCCTGGCCTATCTGTTCATCTTGCTTGTCCTGAGAGGTTTTCTGGGGACTCTGGTGATTGTCAAGCATTTTTGACACAGTGTAGCCTCCACTTTGAACTGCAGCCCTTCTCTTTCCCCACGGAGAGAGCCAAGATTGCTTTTCTCATCTCCCACCTTTCGGGCAGGGCCGAGGCTTGGGCCACGAGCATTTGTAAGTCATTTGATCTTTTTACTAAGCGTTTCACTCAAATTTTTCAGCACACCAGGCCTGGGAGGGAGGCTGCCAGAGCTCTATGTCAGCTGCAGCAGAAGAGGAGACGTGTCGCTGATTATGCTATTGAATTTCGTACTTTGGCTGCTGCATGTGACTGGAATCAATCAGCACTTTTTGATGCCTTTTTGAGTGGTCTTTCCAGTGAACTCAAGGATCTGTTAGCCCCTCTGGATCTGCCGGAGGATTTGGACTCTCTCATCGCTCTGGCGATCAAGATTGACAAGAGGCTCACAGACCGACAACGAGAGAGAGGTTTCGACTTCCCTTCTCCTCCGGACCGGTGGAGGCGGGGCGCTGCTAATGGTGGCTCCAGTTGGCGTGCGTCAGCCCCTGACTCTTCTCTCAACGTGTCCTCAGCTTCAACAGCTTCATCAGAGGAGCCCATGGTGATTGGCAGAGCCCACCTTTCACCTGAGGAACGTCAACGCCGCTTTCGGGAGGGTCTCTGCCTGTATTGTGGCCAGCCGGGTCACCAAGTCAGCGACTGTCCAGTAAACAAGAAGGGACCTCTAAGAAGGTTTTCGTTGGTGAGTTGCACCTCCTTTTCTAATGACATCCAACGTGCAAGCCCCACTGTCCAGCTCTCCACTCCTGAAAAGACTGTTGAGCTGGTGGTGCTCATTGACTCTGGTGCAGATGTTAACTTGATGGATGCTCAATTTGCAAGACAATTGAACTTAAGAGTTTTTGCCTCTTGAAAGGCCCCTGCAGGCTGTCGCCTTGAATGGACATCCGTTGTGCTCTGTGTCTAGTCGAACCCCACCTGTTAAAGTGACTTTCGCTGATAACCATTCTGTAATGATTACGTTTTTCCTGTCTGGTTTTCCTCGACACCCGGTCATTTTGGGTCATCCCTGGCTTGTTCGGCATAACCCTAACATAGATTGGTCCTCTGGTTCAATTTTATCTTGGAACTGCGATTGTTTACAGTCTACTCCTGGTAGTACCCCTCCTTCTCAGGTTGTAGGGGTTCTACCAGGCTGTGATTCTGATTTCCCTGATCTGTCTCGGGTTCCCTCTTGTTACCATGACCTTAAGGAGGTTTTTAGCAAGTCACGGGCTGCCTCTTTGCCCCCGCATCGTCCGTATGACTGTGCCATTGACTTGCTACCGGGAACCACGCCCCCTAAGGGTCACCTGTACCCGTTGTCCTTACCTGAAAGGCAGGTTATGAGGGATTACATTGACACAGCGCTCCGGGCAGGCATAATCCGTGAATCTTCGTCCCCTGCTGGGGCAGGTTTTTTCTTTGTGACCAAGAAGGACAACACTTTACGTCCGTGTATCGATTACCGGGGTCTCAATGACATCAACATCAAGAACAGGTACCCCCTCCCTCTGGTCTCCTCGGCTTTTGAACTCTTACAAGGTGCTACAGTTTTTACTAAGTTGGATTTGAGGAATGCTTATCACCTTGTGAGAGTGAGGGAGGGGGATGAATGGAAGACTGCCTTTAATACGCCCAGTGGGCATTATGAGTACCTCATGATGCCTTTTGGTCTCTCTAATGCTCCCGCGGTTTTTCAGGCTCTGATTAATGATGTACTTCGGGACATGCTCAATGATTTTGTTTTTGTGTACCTAGATGATATTCTGATTTTCTCCCCTGATATGCAGTCCCATATCCAGCATGTGCGGAGGGTTCTTCAACGCCTTCTCCAACACCAGCTCTATGTGAAGGCGGAGAAGTGTGCCTTCCACGAGTCGTCTGTTCATTTTCTTGGGCTTGTTGTGAGAGGGGGAGATCCAGATGGATCCGACAAAGGTGGAGGCGGTCAAGAACTGGCCGGTCCCTACCTCGAGGAGAGAGGTGCAGAGGTTTTTAGGTTTCGCAAACTTTTACTGGCGGTTTATTAGGGGTTTCAGTAGCGTTGCCGCCCCTTTGCACGCTCTGACCTCCCCAAAAGTCAGGTTTCAGTGGTCCTCTCAGGCAGACAAGGCTTTTCTGAGTCTTAAGGACAGTTTCACTTCTGCTCCGATTCTGGTAATGCCTGATGCCCGGTTCCAGTTCATTGTTGAGGTGGATGCCTCCGAGGGGGGAGTGGGGGCTGTTCTCTCTCAGCGCTCCGAGGTGGATCACCGCGTTCATCCCTGTGCATTCCTGTCACGCAAGCTGTCTGCCGCTGAGAGTAACTACGACATTGGGGATCGTGAGCTATTGGCCATTAAAGTGGCCTTGGAGGAGTGGTGCCACTGGCTCGAGGGGTCCAAGCTGCCATTCATCGTGTGGACCGACCACAAAAATTTAGAGTACCTGAGACGGGCCAAGAGGTTGAATCCTCGTCAAGCCAGGTGGGCCTTGTTTTTTACACGTTTTAACTTCACTGTGTCTTATCGACCCGGTTCGAAGAATGTGAAGCCTGATGCTCTGTCCCGCCTGCCTAACACAGTTTCCTCTGTTCCTGAGGTCCCAGCACCAGTCCTCCCCTTGTCTTGTGTGGCTGGAGCAGTGACCTGGTCTGTGGAGGAGCAGGTGAAGCAGGCAGCTGTTTCGGTTCAGGCCCCTGATGGTTGTCCTGCAAACCGGCTTTTTGTTCCCCCTACCCAGAGGTCTCAGGTTATTCACTGGGCCCATGCTTCCCGTTTTTCGTGCCATCCGGGGGTCAAGAGAACAATGTTTGTAATTCAGCAACGGTTCTGGTGGCCATCTATGAGACGTGATGTTGCTGAGTATGTGGCAGCCTGTCCAGTATGTGCTCGACACAAGACCTCCCACACACGTCCTTCGGGCCTACTTCTCCCTCTCCCCGTTCCCACTCGGCCCTGGTCACACATCTCTCTGGATTTTGTTTCCGGGCTACCTGTTTCTGAAGGTAATACCACTATTCTCACTGTAGTCGACAGGTTTTCTAAGATGGTGCACTTCATTCCCCTTTCTAAGTTACCCACGGCCAAGACGACCGCAGAGGTGTTGTTGTCTCAGATTTTTAGGATCCATGGTTTCCCGGTTGACATTGTTTCGGACCGTGGCCCTCAATTCATTTCCCGTTTTTGGAAGGCCTTTTGTTCCCTGTTGGGGTCTTCTGTCAGTCTCTCTTCAGGTTACCATCCCCAGCGTAACGGGCAGGCTGAGAGGCTAAATCAGGAGCTGGGAACCGGTCTACGCATCCTTGCCGCTGAGTGCCCCTCGACGTGGTGTAAGCACCTAGTGTGGGTGGAGTTTGCCCACAACACCTTGCCAACCGCTTCTACAGGTCTTTCCCCATTTCACTGTGTGTATGGTTATCAACCGCCTCTGTTTCCTGCTCTAGAAGGGGAGGTCAGCGTCCCGTCTGCCCATGCCCTTGTTCGGCGTTGTCGTAGGACCTGGGTTAGGGCGCGTCGCACCCTCCTGAGACAATCTACGTCCTACAAGTTGGCTGCTGATCATCTCAGGGTCCCTGCTCCGGCTTACAGGGTGGGGCAGAGGGTGTGGCTGTCTACTCGGGACCTTGCCCTCCGTACGGACTCTCGTAAGTTGTCCCCTTGATTTATTGGGCCATTTCCTGTGTCAAAGGTTGTTAACCCTGTGGCTGTTAGACTCAAGCTCCCCAGGTCCATGAAGTGCCACCCGACGTTTCATGTTAGCCGGATTAAGCCGGCCAGGGAGAGTGCGCTGGTTCCTGCCTCCCGGCCCCCTCCTCCCCCCCGGATGGTTGCGGGGGGCCCGGTCTATTCTGTGCGGCGGCTGTTGGCTGTGCGGCGTCGGGGTCATCAGTTCCTCGTTGACTGGGAGGGTTACGGCCCTGAGGAGAGGTCTTGGGTTCCGGCGAGCGATGTTTTGGATCCCTCCCTGATTCGGGACTTTTATGACCGGCACCCGGATGTTCCCGGCCCGTCGGGCGCCGTGCGTGGGGCGTGGGGTGAT